AGTCATTACAGCAAAGAACACACACCCCAGAAAATGCTCAATACAATCACTAGCGTAGCTGGAAGAAAACCAACAATTCTAGTTTTATTTATTGTTATTTTTAAAATAAGAAATTAAAGCTCTTTTGATAATAAAAGCTAATACTCTTTACCAGTCTTTATGTGCGTTAATTCATTTAACCCTTTCAACAACTTAATGAAATAAATACTAACACCCTCTGATAGAGTTTGAAACAGAGACAGAAAGAGGTTGAGTAATCTGCCCAAGGTCTCTAAGACACAGAGGCAAGATTTGAATCAGTCTAGCTCCAGGAATTCTCGAACTTTCCTGCACAGCAGAATCACCCAGAGGGCTTATGAAAACACAGAGTGCTGGGCCCATCGCCCAGAGCTTCTGATCAATAGGTCTTAGCTGTGTCTGAGAATCTGCATTTCTACCAAGTTTCCAGGGTATGCTGAGGCAGCAGGTCTGGGGACCACACTTTGAGAAACATGGATCTAGGCTTTTCTACCTCTAAAGGCGCTTTGTGAAGTTTTCAGCTCTGCAAGTATTTAATATTCAGATTCACTCAGAAGCCGCCCCTCACTTGCTCAGGATGTCAGACAGCCTGGAGTCTCCTAGCTTTGGAAAGTGTCCTGAGGGAATATTGGTCAAATGGGAAGGATTTGATATGCATTTCTCTATACTCATCATGTTGCAACTAATGGCAGGATTTTATTTTTATTTATATTTTAAATTTTTTTATTACATCCTCGCTTCACCTCAAATTTTTTTTTTTTTTTTTTTTTTTTTGAGACAGCGTTTTGCTCTGTCACCCAGGCTGGAGTGCAATGGTACAATCTTGTCTTACTACAGCCTCAAGTTCCCAGGCTCAAGCAATCCTCCTACTTCAGCCTAATGAGTAGCTGGGACTACAGACATGTGCTACCACACCTGGTTTATTTATTTATTTATTTATTTTTTTGAGATGGAGTCTTGCTCTGTCGCCCAGCCTGGAGTGCAGTGGCGAAATCTCAGCTCACAGCAACCTCCACCTCCCAGGTTCAAGTGAATCTCTTGCTTCAGTCTCCTGAGTAGCTGGGATTACAAGCGCGTGCCACCATACTTAGCTAATTTTTTGTATTTTTTGTGGAGATGGGGTTTTACCGTGTTAGCCAGGATGGTTTCAATCTCCTAACCTCAAGTGATTTGCCCACCTCAGCCTTCCAAAGTGCTGGGATTACAGGTGTGAGCCACCACCGCACCCAGCCACATCTGGCTAATTTTAAATTGGGTTGTTTTGTTTTGTTTTGTTTTTGTAGAGATGGGGGTCTCGCTATGTTTCCCAGGCTGGCCTTGAACTCCTGGGCTTAAGCGATCCTCCCTACTTGGCCTCCCAAAGTGCTAGAATTACAGGCATGAGCTGCCATGCTCAGCCAGGGTTGTTTTTTTTTTTAACTATTACAGAACATTTTAAGCATATATGAAAACAGAAAGTATAACGCAAGGACCCTACGTGCCCAACTCCAAACTTTGTTGATTGTCGTATGAGACCAATCTTGTTTTCATAATCTTTCTCTACTTTTTCTTTTTTTCTGGCATAAAGCAAACCCCAGATATCATGCCATTTCAATGTGCCTGTCTAACAGATAGGGATTTTCAAAAAAACCCCACCATACTTTTATCACACCTAACAAAATTAACAATAATTCTTGTATATCATATGATATTCATGCTATATTCAGATTTCCTGATTGTCTCAAAAATGTCTTTTTAGAATTGGCAGGTTTTAATAATTTATTGTCATTTACAAGGACTGAATTCAATTAAGTGGATTGACAGATTAAGTTACCTAAGTTTAACTCAACTAATCTTCACAAAATGAAGTAATGGCTTAAACAACTAATGCAGAAAAACACAGATTGGAAGCAAAACCATAATGGCAGCCTAGTGAACAAAAAGAAAAAAGCAGAGCGAAACTTCTCGTACAAGCTGTCAATCATATTCAAGGTTAAAAAAAGTAAATCTAAGCAGATCTGACCAAGACAAATCAACCAAGACAATTTCAAATTATCAAGAAAACTCTGAGGAGTGAATTTTCATCCACAATTGTCAACTGTAACAATGAACCCTGCCTGGAGACTGACACCATTATGATTAGTAATTTGAAAATATTATATATTTCATTTTGACCTCTTTCAATTTTCCTAATTTATATATATAACATACAAAATATATTAATGCAGTAATACCTAAGTGTAACATATAATCGTGGTACATGCTCAAAAAATGGTGTGTACACCATCAGAAGGTTGAAACCCTTGGGTCAATACTACACTGCCACCTCCATGCTGGTCTCATGTCTCAAGCCATGTCCCTTACCCTGTCGCTAACACCAGCCCTGGCATGGCTTTCTTCATGATCCAAACCCAAACTTGTCGTACTCCTGCTTACTATTTGGTCCTCAGACTGAAGGTCAAACTCCTTATGCAGCCCAGTGAGTCTACCACCTGCTGCTTCCTTCTTTATTTATTTTTATTTATTACTATTTTTTTTTTGAGACGGAGTCCCACTCTGTCGCCTAGGCTGGAGTGCAGTGGCCCGATGTCAGCTCAGCAACCTCTGCCTCCTGGGTTCAAGCAATTCTCCTGCCTCAGCTTCCCAAGCAGCTGGGACTACAGGCACGTGCCACCACATCTGGCTAATTTTTGTATTTTTAGTAGAGATGGAGTTTCACTGTGTTGGCCAGGCTGCTCTCGAATACCTGACCTTAGGTGATCTGGCTGCCTCAGCCTCCCAAAGCGCTAGGATTACAGGCATAAGCCACCATGCCCAGCCCCTGCTTCCTTTTGTTTTTGTTGTTGTTGTTGTTGTTGTTGTTTGAGACGGTCTCTCTTCGTCACCCAGGCTGGAGTGTAATGGCACGATCTCAACTCTGCAAACTTCATCTCATGGGTTCAAGCCATTCTCCTGCCTCAGCCTCCCAAAGTGCTGGGATTACAGGCGTGAGCCACCTCGCCCGGCCCCTTGCTTCCCTTTTTAGGCTCCAGGGGTGATGCAATGTTAAGCCCAAGCCCAGTCTGCTCTGGTGTGTGCACACGCAATGGCACCTGCTGTGCCCTCACTGGGATGACCCTCCTTTAACCCACAGGTAACTCCTACAGAGCCTTCAAGACGTGGCTGGGCAGTCACCTCCCTCCAGAAGCCTTCCCTGACTGGGTGATGGACCCTCCTCTGAGCTTCCTTATAACGTGAGTTTCTGAGGACATTTTGTACTTATGTTAGCAGCACTGTGCAGGGGTAAAGAACGTGGATCCTAATGTCAATCTACAGGACTGGAATAGTGGCTGCTACAACTACTGGGTTATATGACAAATGACTCAAACGCATCGTAAAATGGGGCCATGATGCATAGGGAAACTAAATCCAGGATGGCTAAATTTAAATTTGCCATGCTATTGCTAGCTGAGCGACCTTGGGCAAATTACTCAACATCCATATGCCTAGTTTCCTCATATGAAAAACGAAGATCATAATAACACCCACATCATTGGGTTATTCTGAGGGTTCAGGTAAAGCATTTAGAATAGTGCCTGGCACATAGCAAGTGCTCATAAATATCAGCTGTAATCATCATGTGTCTGGATCCCACATTGGATGTAATACACGGCTGAATGAGTGAATGCACTGAATTATATTGGATTGAAATGAATTAAAATTGTGCTCTTGTTGCCAGTCACTGAAGGCCCCTCTCTGCGCTAGTCCTTCAAATGGTATAGAGGTTTCACTCCCTAAGTCCTACTTGTCACTGCCATGGGCCTCAGGATTTCTCTTTGCTTCCAGCTAACTAGTCGTTAACATCACCTAGGGACAAGTAAGCACTCAACCAGGCCCAAGCTTCAACTTTGTCTCAGGGACCTTCTTCAAGGAAGCCCTGTCCATTATCAACAACGTATCAGCCCACTGAGATGCCTAAAATTCGCTTCAATATATTATAAAAAGCAAAGTCATACCACTGTGGACATCTGTCTTATTTACAATCGTCTCATCACAGTCTGAGAATATTTTTAGCTGAATATGAAATAACCATCATCCTACCCTCCCCTTCAGCCATACCTTCTGGTTCTGGATTTACAGACAGCATGCAAACTTCCCAGCCCCTAAGTGAGAAGAAAGCTGGGGTCAGTGGGAGTGGGGGTGGAGGGGTAGCAACAGGCTGAAGCTTCCGAAAGAAAAGTAGTATAAAAATGAACACGAGAGCCAGGGGCGGTGGTTCACTGTAATTTCAGCACTTTAAGAGACTGGGGCTGGAGGACTGCTTGTATCCAGGAGTTTGAGACCACTCTGGGAAACACAGGGAGACCCCCCCCCATCTCTACAAAAAATAAAAATTACCCAGGCATGGTGGTGCGATCTTAAGGTCCTAGCTACTTGGGAGGCTGAGATGGGAAGACTGCTTGAGCCCAGGAGGTCAAGGGTGCAGTGAACTATGATCATGCCACTGCACTTCAGCCTGGGTGACAGAGTGAAACTGCCTCAAAAGAAATAATAAGTGAGCGAGAGGTCATGAAAAGGAAGCAAAAACCAAAACCCAACAACAACATGAAACTGCTTGCATAAGATATCTGCACTTGAATCCTCTAAATCTATAAAAATAAAACATTTTTTTGAATTAAAAAAAAGTTCCTTGCCACTAAGAAGAGAGAAGGGGAAGCAGAGAAGCAGAGAATTATGGAGACCATTTGGCAGAGGGAATTTGAGGAATACCAAAGAGGATGCCTCTCACTGTGTGCTGAAAAATCAAGGCAGGCTTCATGGAAGAGGGAATGCCCAGGCTGCTTTTTTAAAGGAAAGCTTACATTGTTGGGTGAGTTTTGGCGCAATCTACAGAAGAAGATGGGGGAATCCTTTTCTCTGGGGATTTTGTAGAAAGGACAATCTGTGCCCCTGGAGAACCACAGCCTCCCCCACTCCTGCCCCTGCTATTTACCTGTGTGACTACTTTTCCAATGAGCCCTCACCTTGATAGAACGCCATGAGCACCTTTTGATCCTCTAAGGAAGTGTCGTAGTAGGTGAAAAAAAAGAAGACAAGAATGAGAGCTGCTTCCAGTGTTAGGGCCCAGAGGGGCAGGCAGCCCCGGACAGATGGGGGGTACTTAGAGCCCATCCTGGTTCGTCTCCGTGCAGACGTTCCACCGGCACCAGGCATCACCCCTCTCCCCAACACCTACTTGAGGGAGTGATAGGGGAGACACCCACCAAAGGCCTTATCTCAGGCTGCAAGGCTGGCTGTTCTGGCCTGTCTATGGAGTTAACACGGAAGCAGAGGGACCATGATGGGGAGGGGAGGAAATGTATGTTTTCCAACATTAAGTCATTCATTCAACAAGTAGTTGCTGCATTCCTGCTATAGGTTCCTGCTGTGCTCAATTTAAAAGAGGGCATTCTACTCCTTTGACACCCAAACAATCCTTCTTTACTCTGTACTTCAGTCATCTTCGCCATAACCTTCTAAGAAAAGCAAGAAACAGATCAATACTCCTATTTTATGAATAAGGAAACTAACGTGCAGAAGAGGCTTTCAGGGCACCCAGTGAGCTCTTAATAACAGTGTATTGAATGAGAATGAATGAATGAATGAAAGCAAAGAATGGGGCCAAGCCCTGGGGGGGATGCATATAGGACCCACGTAGAATTGATTCCTCATAGTTACACATGAAATTACTTACATTTAAATTTGTATTTAAATGTATGTGTTTCTACCATTTTAAGGGTAGCTGGCAGAAGAGACAGGAGGCGTGGGTTTGGCTCTAGTAAAAACCTGGAGGGGATCCTGATCCAGCCTTAGGTGAAGTTGCTCCTACCTCTGGTTGCCTCCTCACAGGGCAGCCTAGGGCTCTGCCTGGGGCACTACAGTGCATTTGAGGAAGCCACCAGTCTCAGCATCCCCATCCCACAGTGGTGGACACTCTGGTCCCCTAGCATGAGCTTTAGGGGGCTTGGTACTTAGCCAACTTCCCCTGCAGCCAACTTCCCCTGTGGTTCCCATCCCATCCTAGCAGAAAGTCTGGCACATGGTAAAGTGTCAAGGAAAGAAGGAAAAGAGGGAGGGATGGAGGGAGGGAGGAAGGGATGAAAGAGGAAGGAAAGATGGAAGGAACTGGCGTTTCCTTACCCTCTACAATGGCCCCAGCCACTGGCCACTGAGTGTAAACCGAATGTGTGGAGCCCAAGAATAAAGCCAGGCTAGGAGCTGCAGGGAGGTGGAAAGTGGATACTTTATTGACCATTACAGTTGTCCACTACCCTGTCACTAGAGGAATGCAAGCAGAAGCTGATAGTTACTTGTCAGAATGTCTTGAGAACGATTCATATGTGGATCAGAGGAGATTTTAATTACCCAGTAGAATCCTGCCATTTTGTTTTTAAATGAAGAAACCAAGACCCAGAGAGGTCACACCCAAGGTCATCTAGTCATTTGGCATTAGTAACTTCTTGCTCAGTGCAGCTTTATTTACAGAAGGAAAAAACAGACTAACCTAAATGTCCACTAGCAGGGGATTGATTAAGAAAACTACAGGCCGGGCGCGGTGGCTCAAGCCTGTAATCCCAGCACTTTGGGAGGCCGAGGCGGGTGGATCACGAGGTCAAGAGATCGAGACCATCCTGGTCAACATGGTGAAACCCCGTCTCTACTAA